TTACGTTGGGCCTTTCGCCAAACTATATGTTCTTTTTAATAGTTATATGTCAACATTGTATAAACACAAAAGAGCGGGAAAATCTATTCAATTTAAAATTGATTTCATAACTGCTTAAAATAATTTGGATTATTCATTTGTACACCTAATATTACAGGCTACGCAGCATTTTCAACATATATTTAATTATTTTAGTATATATATATATATATATACTTCATTATATGTATTTCATTATACATTTTTGCGTTATGGTTGCATTTATAATTTTTTTTATTATAGTAGAAGAATTTCTTTTTCTCTTAAATAATTAACACTTCTTCACTACTGCAAATTAATATCGCAGAAAGTATTGATCGCAGAAAAAATTAATTCCAGATAAAAAGTGTTCAGTATCAAGGTAGGAATCCATACGAGTCCATACAAAAAAAAGAAGCGGCCTTGATCTGATCTCAGCATATCAATCGATCAAAAAATCCCTCTTATCATTTTACGTTCGTGATACCAAACAGCTTTCAAATTATAATGTTTTATCTGTCTCACCCTGTATATATGTTCTTCTTAAGAAATCTCGTGTATTTCCCTCAATTCATTATTTTATTATTACTGTATAACGCATCCCCCCCTCTCTCTCTCTCTCTCTCTCTTTCTTCTGATTCTATGGATGAAAATATTAAAAATATCTTCATCCATTTCTTGAAGCTTGTGGATAAAAAGTTGAATGGCGCATGAAAATTGACGGCGATAACGTGCCATTAATCTTGCGATTTTGACGCGTCACGATCATATTGACATTTTCAATGGTCGCTACGTGCATGAAAGGAACAAACATCCGTTTTTTATTTCTCGTCCTCACACACGCACACATGCACACATATACACATGGGCGCGCACGCAAACGCGCGCGCGCGGTTCGATACCAGTTTCTACCGTCGCCCCGGGAGAAGCTTCGTCTCTTTCTTCTCGTCTTCCGTTCTCTTCAGTGACCCTATTTATGCAGTAACGGGCCTGGACCACTTACCAAGCGCTCTAAATAAAGATAACCCGTTATTGTAACTTTCATTATGCCAGGAAGAGCGTAAGAAAAGCTTCCGAAGGTACCACATAAAATATATACATCGTAGAATATACATATTGCGACAACGTACACTACAAATTACGACGCACTTAGCTGCAAAAATGCATACATTGCCTTCCACGGCATGCGAAACATCTCATAAATTTCGTCTTTTAATAAAATTACGCATTATTCACTGTTCCCCCGGTGGAAACTCGTTGAGGGACGTGTTCTAGGACAAAATCGTCATATTTCAAAGTTTCATTAAAAAGTTCTCGCGTGTGAGGAAGCAAAGAACTATAAAAAAAACTTTTACGTTAACAGTATCACGTTCATATACACGCGGCGTTGTGCTTAGATGATGTTAAAATTAGCTGGATAAGATAAAATAAAAATATACGAATGTATATCTTAGATGAGATGAAGATGAATTTGTTTTAAATATATCTAGATAAAGATGAGACCATATGGCGGCTCATCTAGATAACTTCCAGATAATATGTTACTAAGGTTGTTTTTATGATCACTTATGTAAAAATGCTTGCAAATTATTTAAAAAATCATACAAATATATTCATATTCGTTATTTATAAGTTTACCCGTGTATATGTTATAGTTTTTTATTTCATAAGGCTTATATGTCAGGCTGTCGTGATCTTACTTACGAGTTCGGCGGCCATCTAGCGGCGGAATATCGTAGGGCGAATTTTGGAGCGCTAACGACTTTACTTTAAAAATAAGACTGAAACGCTTCACTTTTTGTCTTACAATTAGACCCAAGGGGAACAAAAAGTCGGGATGATGTCAATTTGACATAAATTTGGTCAATA